TGGTGACTGGGATTTAGGGAAATGAGGAGAGTACAGCGAACCAGCTCGCCTTGGTGAGGAAGCCGAGCTATTTCAATAAAAGCAATGTAACCTCAAAACAGCAGGCTGATTTACATAACACTGTGATGGAACAATCACGGATCAAGTCCGTGTTGTGGGTTGTGCGTCTCCGCTTCCTTCGCTTCTGAATTCTGAATGAAAAAAAAAAAAAGGTGGACTGTCTCTCTTAGCAGTAAATCCACCACGCAGCTACTGTGTTGTATCAAAGGTAAGCACAATGTAACACTGTGGTGTATGAAGAACACGCACGCACACACACACACACACACACACACACACAAATAACCCCAGAAAAAAACCCTCTCCTGAGATTACACAGCTCCACTCAGTGCGACAAAAAAAAAAGAAGATGAACGAGCGCCTTTCGCGTTCTTTTCACCAATGAAAAAGAAAAAAGGGCAACTTGGGAATCGCAAACAGGGTCCCTGGAGCCCGTCGGCTGCGTGTCGGGAGAGTTGATACCACAGCTTAGGTTAGATTTGTGCATTTGCATTAATGACAACGCAGCTGCCGGTGTTTTTCACCTGGGTGATTACGTCATACTTAAGCTACAGTGAGAAATGTTTGAGTGCTAATCAAAAACAGACAAGATCAATTTTATCACGCGTGTCAGCCGCGTGAGTCACAGCTGAGCGAGATAATCACAAACCATCAACTTAGCAACAAACCATCAACTTAGCAACATCTGGGAGTTAGCGATCATCTGCTGCATGGTCATTATCAACCTTCTGCATCATTAAAGTGCTCCATAACTTATTGCAATAAGCAAATAGTTCATATTTCTTTATAATATTATTATATATATTCCATGTTATTCTTGGTGTACTCTGACTCTGATGATTCTTTGGACTTTTTCCTTCTCGTTTCTTCAGCGCGGGAGAAATGATAAGTCATTAAAACTAAGGGAAGTATTAATTAAAGACAATGGAAGACTTTTGTTTTTTTGTTGTACTTGTTTTTACAGATAAATGAGAGCAGGTTCAGATAAAACATTAAGCAGAAAACATTCTGCAAACAGTCCTTCACAGACGGATAGAGGAGATTTGTAGATACTTCATTCATTAAACGGATCGATTCGTTGTCAGAGTGTCTGTCTGTCTTGTGTGTTTAGACAACACGGAACCCAGGAGACTGGGCAGGAGAGGGAGAGAAAGATCAATGGTGCTTTAATGGACAAATGAAGTAGGAAGGGAGAACAGTGATAGCGTGTGAGAGGATGGGGGGGGGGGGGGGGGCCTGGGCTGGGGGCAAACACACACAATTCAAACTGATGGCCGTCAGTGTGATGCACCAGAACAAGAAGTTGAAACGCATCAACTCCCACAAACACTCGCACCAATATGTGTACGGTGTATCTCACTCTTCTTTTTGTCCCACATCAATTCAATACCAATCTGCACGTTATTGAGACATTATGTTTTAGTTTTTATTCTTGATTGTAATATTTAGTCAGCCACAACATCGCGCTCCCTGGTTAAGATTGAAATGAACGCATCAATAGTCATTCGCGAAATATCATTCGACTGTCACATCACGGGGTGCCTTCTCAGCAGAGAATAGATGTTACCTCATTACCTTACCCGACTTGAGATTAGTATGTTGGAATACGCGTTTCTCTCTCCCTCCGTCTCACACACTGAAGCCGAAGAGAAAAACTGAAAAGCTACTCGTCAGAAATCCACATTGTCAGCAGAAGCGCACGAGCATCTGACCCTCTTTTTCCCCAGTTGAATTCCACACGCCCTAAACCTTCTTTACCCCCATGGCAACATCATTTTGAGAGAAATGCTGAGGCACGCTGAGGCCATCTCTTTCAGCACTGCCTGACACCCGACCATTCACCCGCATAAGTAGCCAGCTTGGTCTGAAAACAAACAATTCTGCATAATGTTGTTGTTTTTTTGTGTGGAAGAAGAGCACATACACCTAATCGCCCCCCCACCCAATGTGCCCTTTCATTGCTCCGAGCCTGTTAAAACACTTCAAACCCGTTGGCAATGATGCAACAAAGTTAAACTACGCGCCGCTTTCAAAGGTTGTTGGCCAAAGGCCGTCAGGCAGGTTTGCTGACCTCTGAAGAGCAGCCCGTGTCCTCCTGCCGCTGGTGGTGGCGAGGTGGTCACCAGGCACCATCTGCATCATCCCACACACAGCCTGGTAGCTCCCCCGTCCAGAATATCTCCTTTTATTCCCCACAAATAAGCGAGAGAGGCCGTGCTTCCCCCCGTGCTCGGGGGGTGTAGTGAAAATACCCCTTTTTCCGGGTTGGACTTGGACGGATCAGACTCCCACCACACCCTTCTCAATACATTTTAAACCCTATACATCCTCTAATACACACTCCCTCAGGACGGATGTGCAGAATCAGAGGCATGAGTGATTAATAGACCCATGGAGCTTATTTTTGGTTTTATCCAAAGGAACAGAAAAATGACTGCCACGCTCGGCCCAGCCGCTGGCCTCCTCAACAGATACGAGTTCTGGTGCCACCCCGTCCTCAAAGTCGGTCTTCCATCCCAGCTTCGGGACAAGCAGGTGAGGTGACACCGGCCCTCAGGCGTGTAATATTGTGAACACAAAGAAAATTCATTGGAGATTCCCGCGGATATGTGACGGGAATCCTGCTGGAGTATTAAGTGCAGTACAGCAAAGGCAGTGCCGCAGGGAAGAAGCTGCCAAGTGGCTGATAATCACCAACTTGCCCGTGTATTAGAGTTAAAAGAGCCTCCACTTTGACATCCTGGGTCACAATCACCTGTAATGCATCCGGCTTCTTCTTCTTCTCTGAGCTGAGGGGTGTCAATAGTCATTCAAGCCCTGACTCTTTCCCGTGTAGTGCGTTTGCTCGCTGTAAGAGAAATCTCCCTCCAAGCAGGACGTTGCACAATGCTTTTTTTTTTAAACCCTATTGGACCATGGCAGCAGCTGGAGACTCTACCTCGGGACACCCCCGGGAACCCCCCCCACCCCCTGGTGTCCTCCCATTACTCTTGTTGTCTTGTTCACTCCTAAAACTAAAAGGTTCATCTTCACTGGCAGATGAAGAAGAAAAATATCCAGCTTAGCCCTGAGTCTGTTACAGCCTCTGCTATTACTCCCTGCACAGTTGTCCAACTGAGCAGAGCTGCACGGTGTCCCCCGAGCAGCCTGATCCGACGCGTTTGTGCCGCTATCCACCTTTGTCGAGCATCACAAAAATCTGAATTTAGTGAGAGAGTCTACATTTTCAGGTTAGTGTGTACATTTTTTGGTTTAATCACGTGTCAACAAGTGCATTCTGCGAGTATCAAGTGGGCCAAAACTGTAATGTGACCCGTGTCTTCGATGATAGGAGACGTTTAACTGAACTCAGGACAAACCCTCTAACGTCATTGCGACACGCGACCGAGGAGAGGATGAAATGAAAATCGTCACAGCAACGCTTTTCAGAAAAAACGAATGAATTACACTTCCTCTTTAGCAACTAAACATCACGTAACCTTGTTGTTATTCCAGGTGAGGAATTGGCAACGGCCCTGCTGGAGCTGATGTGCCAAATAATGAAGGCAATTAGCTGCAAAAGATAGATAGCCAAAACCTGGAGCCCGGCCACATTTTTAGGCAGAGAGAGAGGGAGGTAAAAAAAAAGCAGTTGGCAAGAGATATTGAGAAACTTGTTTTATTACCTCGAACGAGACAGAAAGAGCGCGCCTGGCAGAGGTCCAGTTCTTGAGAAAGAGGCTTTTTCTTTGAAATAATCATCTACCAGGTGTGATGATTTTCCTGCTGTGCATTTAACTTCATTCTGATAATATATATATATATATATATATATATATATATATATATATATATATATATATATATATATATATATATATATATATATATTTATATTTATATAAGATTTGAAAGGAAAGGGTTAAATATTAGACAGAATGATTGACAAGTAATAGGAAATAGCTCCGTTCAAACATTCGGGTGATGTGGCCTTGTAAAAAAATAAAGACCCCTGCCAATGAAGAATGCACTCAGCTTGGAATTTATTCATAGATGTATTTATAATGCATGCCCAACGAATGAAGTACTTCCCATGCATCTGAGCAAAGCATGTGTGTGTGTGTGTGTGTGTGTGAGAGTACCTGTGTGCAAGCCGACCTCATACATGCCTGTGCAAACTGTGTGCTAAGTGTGTGTACCCCCCATGTGCAGTCTATCTAGGAGACAGGACAAGTGCTGATTGATGAGAGAACGTTTGTTTTAACGAGCGTCCGGAGTGGATTCACCTTGAGAGAGACTTGATTTCTTGGTTTACGTTGCTTCTACTGCTGTCTGAGGACATCTGAAGCATACACCATCAGTACAAACACATGTGTGTGTGCGCATGTACCCATGGTGTTTGTTTACCTGTGTGTGTGTGTGTGTGTGTGTGTTTTGCCCGCGTATTACTGTGTAGTTTTCTGATTTATCTGCATTTTCGGTGGGTTACTGTGTAGTCTGGCTGCGTGCTGTTGGCAGATAGGTGAGAGCGAGAGGTTGTGTGTTTGTGGGTGCTATAAATTATTGAGTGTGGACCATTTCATGTTTTGGACTTTTTTTGTCTTTGCAATTGCCTTTTCAGTCACTCGTGTCCTAAATATCATATTAAATCATGTGAATGTATGTGTATTATATTGGGTCTGTCTGTATTCATTAAACACAGAAATACTAATAGATCACTTCAATCAGTTTAGGTAAATATGATATATTTTAGAAACTATATCATATTTATATATAAATATATATTATATTTAAATTAATCAGATATGCTATTTGACTTCATTTAGTGACATTTCCTAATCCATAACGTCTACTGATACCATTAACAGGAAAGCAGTTGTTCATTCTGTTTGCATTAGCCCGCAGTGCATCCAATGCAAACCCCCATTGCTTTTATAGCGACGTGCAAGGAAGCGCGTTACCTCTTTTGTCCTGCAGGTGTCCTCGTCACATCTTCCGACCCCTCGTCGTCGCTGCTGTCCGCGCTCTCTCTCTGCGCTCCTCTCCTCGACTGTTTACCAGCGCGTCTTCCATACCGGAAGTCGCTTCATTCCGTGAGTTTTAATGAATATCTACCAGGCAAAGCAACGCCAGGCTAATAACGCGAGGTCGCTTTATTGGCGGCGAGGCGGAGTGTCGCCGTGTGCGTTGTCTGCGTTGCTGTGGCGGCGTTTTATGAGTCTTACCGGTGGACAACGAGGGAGCATCGCTGCTCATCGCTGCGCGAGCGGGGTGTTACGTCACACGTGCACGTTAGCGCGCGGAGTTCAACGCGCTCATTTACTTCGTGGCTTTTTGTTTTTAGCAGCATCACCTGCAGCCCAATAAGCCTTAACACCGCCTTATAGAAGCACCAACTTGTGGGTTATTCGCATGTTTTATTTAGAATGCTTCCTGATACTCTGTAAATGATGTAAATATTAAGATGCAGTGAACCGAGTATATCGTTTTTTGTCTGTATAACTCGGTCACAGAAAAGCTGTTTATCCACACGTGACGGTATTGACAACCATTGCAGCAGATTGTAATGGTTCACCACTTGTGGCTTTAATAAAATGTAAAAACGGGATATTTACAAGTTCACCTTTTGTTTCCTTTTCCTACAAGAGGCGTTCGACAATATAAACGCTTACACAATTCCTCAGCCGTACTAATTGTAAATCTGAAATAGTCAAATGTAATAGCAGATGCACTTGAGTTAATAATTGATCCCGTTCTGTTCTTTGAACAGTTTGCCATGTGTGTGGGTAGGAATGAGGAAGCATTGTTGTTACAGAGAGGAGGTACAAGGACGTTGTTGAAAGTGCAGCAGTGCTTGAGTAACTGTTGTGCGATCTGTATCTACACGGTGCTTTGTTGTGCTCTGAATCGTGCTTTACTCTGTTCTCTGCTAGTTGGCTTGTAAAGCTTTAAAGGGATCAAGGTTGGTGCTGGCTTTACTTTAAGGATTATATTATACATTACTTATCCTAAGTAAATAAAAAAACAAAAGCCAGCAGCAACAGTGTGTGTGACACGTGTGTCCTCCTGCAGGTGAGTCCACTGATTTGAAGACGGGCTCCTGTGGATCGCGGCGATGGAGGAAGAGTTGACGCCTTTGGACTGCCTTCTGCCCTCAGGTAGCGCCTTCCTTTGTTCTCCTGGACATGCACAGACAGCCTCGGGGGAATTAAAACTCCAAAACAAATCTCTGGTACTTTGACAACAATATGTACATGTATGAGACGCTCTTCTATTTGCCCCTTTTTATTCGCCCGCGTGAATAATGATTCCTCGTTGAATTGGGGCCTGCGGTGTTTGCTTGTAATGTTTTCCGATAGAGAAAAACTAACTCTGAGAGGGCATTGGGATTATTGAAACATTTCAAAAAAATAAATAATCTTGCTCCTGAATACAATCTCTGTGCTTTTATAAAGTTTCACTTACTCGGAAACCCGTCTTCGGCGTGGCGAGATTACTTCCAGAAAAGATGTTGTTTATCTGTGTGGATGCTCTTGCAAGAAACCCTACGGATGGTCGGCGCCGGGCTCTCTAGGGACCCGACGAAGAGGCTGGCTGTAGCTGCCTTCAGCCACGGCGCTAAGGTCAAGGTGTTTGTGAGCTCTCTGGTGGTGTGTGTGTGAGAGAGAGAGTGTGTGTGTGTGTGTGTGTGAGTGTGGAGGAGGGAAAGCTGCCTGAGGGCAGGTTTTTTTTCCAAGATCTCTAAAGGTCAAAGTGATTGTACAACAGTTTGGCTCGTAGAGCAGAACCGGCGCTCTGTGGGTGGCGGTAGTACTGCCAATTGACCAGATTGAATTTAAATTAAATAAAAATTGAGTGATTTGCAAATCAGGTGTTCCCTGGCGGACGTTCCCTCGGATGCAGCGATAAACGGAAAAACTGTGGAAAACAACCCTGCGGCATTGAATGCTCCCTACGCGTGTAGGTAGGAAATAGGACCACGAGTACATTCAACTTGAATTCATACATTTTATTTGCCCGTTGTAGCCGGCACTGGGATAACACATATCACGGTTATTTTACAAAGAACTGTCATATTGATTTCTTCTCCTTACCTTTTGTAATGCTATGTTTCTTTACTTCCTCGGACATTTTCCTACAGCTGCTGTTACAGGTTATGGACACGTCCTCTTTGAGATCTATTTCAAGAGCGTATTTTGCAACTTGCTCAAAATATTGGTCGGTTATAATAAAGGAGACTGCCATTGGTTGCTTAGCAGCCACTTCACTCTGTTCAAGTTCAATTGGGGTGGCGGACACTGGTTACCCACCCACACACCCAAGATATGGATAGAGATAGAGATCTTAGGAGTGAGAAAACAGATGTTTTGTCACTCCGTGGATCAGAACTTAATGGCTCCTCTTCAAATACTCCATGTGCATGTCACTGAATTGAAGACGGCATTTGAATTGTGAGGAAATCAATGTGGAAGTCGAAGTTTCTTTTTTCGGAGCAGGTGAATGCACGCACCTCCACGTTTTATTGGAATCTAGTTCCAAAAATACATTCACCTTGAATTATGTGAATAATTTAGTTTATTATTCAAGTTGAGCAATTGAAATTCAACTACTAAGATTCAAATGTATTTTTCTGCACATGCTATACACATGATATCACTTTTTTATAACCTCTCCTGTGCTCTGCAATTTACTGAATGTTTCTCTCATCACTGTTCGTCTAGGGGTCTTTACTGAGGCGGCCAGAATTGAATGTTTCTCACAGCATCTGGTTGGTGAAAAGGATCTCATTTCATTTTATTCCTCTCGCTATTGCCTAGGAGACTGTTCCCTTAAATTGGAAATCCAGCCACTTACTCTCCATAAAACAATGGCCGAACCTCTTCTCAGAGCGTGTGTCGTTCCTGCCGAACACAATAATCAAACCACAGAATTCAATCAACATTTGTCATATTTGTGCCCCTGCTCTCAATCTGCCGGGGTGCTAAATGTCACCGTGTTGCTATTGTCATCTTTAGATGACAATCCCACCCCGCCTCGTGCCCCCGCGGTACGGGATGATAAACCAAACGCGATGTGTTTCTCTCTTCTCTGACTGTCAGAGCTTTTCTGCCTCTGCTTTATTTGTTTGTCTGTTTTCATGTCCTCGTCTACTCTCGAGTGCTTTTATGTCGCCTGTTTGTTCTCCGCTTTCTCCCTGTTTTTCATCAATAACTGTTTTAAAGTAATTTTGTTGCACTTGTTTGTGTCTCTGGTTGGTCGTGTTTCCTCTTCGTCAAATGCAAATAGTTTGAAAAAGAATAAAAACAAAGTAAAATCAGTGGAAGCCTTTGTTTTCCAGCCATTTCCTTGATGTTGGATTAATGAAATATTGCTGTTACAAACTTTGGTTTGTCTCTCCTGGCCACAGACTTTGTCCCATTATGGTTATGGTACATTATCAATATTATTACTTTTCTTTTAACATGTTTCTCAAACCCCTCCATCAGTTGTTTAGAATGTTTATACTTTCTTAATCAAAATCTGTTACCAGCTTCTTCTGCATTTCTCTGCTGCTTTTCGCTCAATTCGGCTCAATTTGGATATTTTATGTTTTCTGTAAGTGACTATACAAATTAAATGTTGATTATTATTATTATTATAATTGGGAGATTTGAACTTGTGAAGGACATTTTTTTTCCCCATACTTTTGGGTACTAACTAATTTAATGAACGAATTCATGATGCAATCCATTTAACGGCCTCCCAATGTTGCCAAATGAGTGGATGAACGAATGAGTGCCTCTGAGGGAGCCACGTATTGAAGGAGTGCAGCTCGCGTTACGGCGCCTTGCTCCCTTTGTTTCTCTCTCCCTCTCCGTCTCCTATTGATCGCGGCCTGAAGGTTGTAATCCTGCTGTTACACCGCTAAGGGCCGATGTTATTGTGCTCCGGTAAGAGAACATATGTTCGTACGTACTTGACATTCTCGGACATGCGTGCACGCGGTGTGCGCCTGCACGCCTCGAAAGAAAGAAAGAATAATAAATAAATAAATCAACGCTCAAAGGCCAAGATTGTTCAAGAGAGACTCACTCTGAAGCATTCATTGAAACAGACGTTTGCTCAAACACGCTGGCTAAGCATTACAGGCCACGCACCTGAGTTTGCTCCCCGTGCAAATCCAAGCTTTGTTCTAGTGATTTCACAGCGAGTGCAAATGGCGGTTGCAGATCAGAGTACACACACACACATCATCTTGATGAAGCCGTCACTTTCTAATACAAGCTACTGCAAGCTTTTTTTTAAATTCCCTGTATGCTTCACATACACGCTAAACACTTTTTTTTTTCTTTCTCCCAACATTTTCCTCCTTTTCAGTTTGGAAATTATTTAGTTCTTTTTTCTCTACTTATCTAGATATAAAAACAGCCCCTGGGTGTCTGCATTTTAAAATCCCTGCTCTGCAAAGTTAGCCTTTTGAGTTCTATCTTTTTAATTATAAATGCCTGTTCTTGGAATATCTGTGTTTTGTGTGTGTGTGTGTGTGTGTGTGTGTGTGTGTGTGTGTGTGTGTGTGTGTGTGTATTTTGTATTTATGCTGTCTGGCACTTCCAAGGTGACATTTCTTTGAAGGGAGTGCACAAAAGGCTGCACACTTTTCTCTCTCTCTCTGTGTGTGTGTGTGTGTGTGTGTGTGTGTGTGTGTGTGTGTGTGTGTGTGTGTGTGTGTGTGTGTGTGTGTGTGTGTGTGTGTGTGTGAGAGAGAGGGGGGGGGGGGGCATCTGAAAAAGTCACGGCTGGTTGGGTTTGTCTTGTGTTCTCTCTACACCTCTAGCCAATTAGGAGACAAGACTGACAAATCTGCTCCTCCTTTTCCTCCCTCTCACCTCCACTTCCTCGTGTCCTCTTTCTTTCTTCTCCCCTTTACGGCACTCTGCTGGGGGTGACTTTCCTATTGGAAATGACCTTCCACGGATGTGAACTTCTTTTTAACAACATCAAGCCGCAACAAAGACTATGTTTTTCCTCCACACTTTCTCAGCTGGGTCAGAATGCACTCTTTGCATTCGAGGGTTCAACACTACAAAGGGAGCTTTTTCGCGACACATTTTGCAATGAGAATTTCATAAAACCTCCAGAAGTAGTTCTTCTTCCCCCTTTAACCATTGCTTTCTCCAACCCCCTCCCCTCCCTCCCACACTCCTGCTGCCTTTCTGATGTGTTTTGATGTGTGATGGGAAAGATGCAGGCCTTATTAGATATGCTGCGCTGTGCCGTTTCAACACTGGTTTCCAGTTGTGTGTAATTTGCATACATAGAGAGCGGAAAGAGGGCGACGTAATCACATTGTTTCTTGCACAAGGCATTTGGGCTTCGCTACACAGGGCAACTACTTTAGAAACGGAGGGGAGGGAGAGCTTGTGCTTTGGTTTCTCATCCGCTAAAGCTTTTACAGCTGCTCTGTTTTCATTCATGTCGATGACAGCGTATTTCTGTTCATCTACCGCGGAAAGAACACATTTCTAAAGTATTAGGGGGATCTGCATTAGAAGCGGATCAAAAGAAAAGAGGGTTCGCGAAAGGACACGACGAACCCTGCGACTTTATGAAGTAGCGTGGCCGTACAACGAGGAGGGAAGGGATTAGCTGTTGTTGGGAAGCCCTTTCGGTGTTGAAAGGGCTTCCCACCGCCGCCACGACGGTACAGATGGTGTGCCATCAAGGTCGAGGTATTCAAATGTGCACTGGTGTGCGGCTCCGTGCACACACCAGCAGTCACATTAAGGGCTTTGACTCGTGCCCCTGGTCCACGAGAGGCAAAGGTGCTGGAAAGATGTTGCATAACTTAGAGAGGAACTGCCCTCCCTCTTTTTCTCAGGCAAACAAACCACTCATTGGACATTTTGAGCTTCCTATGCCCGTGACAATGGCGTCATTATCACAGCGTTGTTTTAGGTTGCGTTCTTTATTTAGCGCTGGCGCTGCCTTAAAGAACAGCCGGCATTCTTATTTTATTTTTGCAGACAAGCAAACGACGACGTGTTTCTGCAATGCGGCCGTCGCATGTTTCATCGCCGCTGTGGTGTCTGACTATTGATTGTCGTTTTTCACTTATATCGCTCTCCTTCCCCCCCCCCTATTTTCTTGTGCAGGCACGCAGAGGATCTGTCTGATTATTCTGAACCAGCCTCTAAATAAAGACTACCTGCACATTCTCTGGAGAAAAGGTAAATCTCACACGAGCCTCTTTAATATTGCTTGGATCTCATCTTCATTGAGTTGCGGCAGGCATTTATTCCCCTGCTGTTTTTTTGAGGGGCCGTGCTCTCTGGCCTGTGTAGTCTCCACTGTGCAATATCATAATTACTGCCATGCCATTGAAAATGCCCCCTTTCTGCCCTCTGCCCACATTTCTTGTGAGATGTGTTTTAATTAAGTTTAAGATGACATAATTCTTTTGCCATCTTTTGGTTTTCTAACTCCCGTGGCTGTAGGATGTAGACCATTTATATTACAATTCATAACAGTTGGCTCACAGTTGGAATATTCAGCATGATTTCGTTGCCCCTGAGACTCTTTTTATTATCGTGATTAAATACTTTGAAGAGTGTTGTATCTGAAACGTCAGTTAAGGCAAGGTCAACTTAACACGCGTACCTGGAATGAGACTGAATAGCTGAATAGCGTGAAAGCTCGGTATTCATTCCTCAGGAGGCCGTTCTTTCAGCGGCCCCAACACTCACATTTTTCTCTCTCGTTCCAAGTCACCGAATGTAACAAGAATATCGTCCCTTCGGATTCATCCAAGTGTGCCTCTATTCATTACCGCTAATTGGTTGCTCGGTAAATTACGTGAACACGGACCGCGTCGCTAAGTGTCCACTCCGGCCAGCGGGGGAGCGACGTGGTCGATGCAAACAAACGCTGTTTTTCCTCTAGTCAATAACTCAAAGGGTGTAAATATTACAACGGAGACTGGTGCTCCAAAGGCTCATCGTTAAAAGGGGGAAAGTAGGTTTTTGAAGGGGAATAGAGCTGCAGACTCCCTGAGGGGTCGCTTGTGAGATGTGTGTGTGTGTGTGTGTGTGTGTGTGTGTGTGTGTGTGTGTGTGTGTGTGAAATCGTCCGTGTCTGTGTCCTACCACTTTTTATTTTAAATCTGGTGAACTGCTAAGGAGCGGAGCTTAGTGAACAGGGTTAGTGGAGAGAAGTGGCCTGGATCGCTGGGTGTGAACAACAAAACCTGTGGGCAAACAATAAAAAGTGTTATACGTGGATTTATGCAATCAGGAAGGACGGTAAGGAAACAAAGTATGTCTGAAGGCAAATAAAGACCCTTTCGATTGTTAATTTATCAAGAATATAAAGAAAATATAGAATTCAAAGGAAGAAGATGTTGGCATATTAAATTTACAGTCCTTCAGTGTGCATCCAGGGTAAAACCCTTTTGAAATGTATTTCAACACTCTTTTTTTAATGTTAATAATATTTAAATTGAAGACAGTATTTCAATATCCCTCTTAAATGATTCATTTCTACCATAAATGGCGATATTAGACCGATAATAGATTTTTTTTTCTTATGCCCCATTGAGATTGGAGATTGATTTCTGTCATTTAATAGCATTGTTTTCAAATACAGTATGTGAGTCTAACGCAGTAATGCAGTTAGACTCACATATTGTATTTGATTACATTGTGGAGCCATTGATATTCCTTCTGTTGTAGTTATTTGGGGGGGGGTTCACGTCTGTTCTGAAGTCTTACCCCAGTCAATACAGCACTGTGTGACCACTGTGAGGTAGAAAAACAGATGTACTCTGACAGCGCGAAGCAGCTCGATAACTTCCTGTGGCATTTGCACCTAAAGTTTCAGAGAGACGTTGGCTGCAGCAGTGCTGTGGTGTGTTTTTCAGGATTTAGGGAGCTTTCTTGAGCCTTCTTCTCTCTGCAGTGACCCGAGGTCTTGACAGGGCGATGCGTTGACGGCCGATCTCCTTCAGCGCGATGCTTAACGCGCTTTCAGCCAATGCATCATTCCTCACTCGAGATGCCACGTGTTTTTAATGTCGTTTACGGGAGTTTGTCGGGGTGTGCGCGTGGCTGCGCGTGTCACTCTCCAGATGGCTGCTCACCTGGAGGCGCCGCAGCCAGGGTCTCCACCTTCTACAGACGACGCTGCACTCTCGGCTTCTCTGATGTGCCGCCCCTGGGTCCCCCCCAAGTCGCCACCCGTGGGAGAGGCAGAGCAGCAGGGAGCAGCAGGGAGCAGCAGGGAGCAGCAGGAGCGATGCCGGCTGGGAGAGCGCAGCGCTGATCAAAGGGGGAGCTCATTTAGACGTGCCGAGTGGGATGTTGTGCGGCGGGATCGAGCTGCTTATCTCACTCCCGCACCCTCTCCCTCATCCTCATCGAGTCCTCCGCCCCGCCCCACCCGCTCGTGAAGTCGTCACCCACTCACTTTTTCATTCAGTCAAATCAGTCTCCCGTTTACCCTCTTACAGATCCTTCACTTGTTTTGGTGTAACAACACAAAACGAGCAAATCAATAGAGCAATCAGTGAAGGTGTCTCTCCCTCCACACACACACACACACACACACACACACACACACACACACACACACACACACACACACACACACACACCCCGAGGGAACAGCACAGCGCCGGTGCCTGATTTTCGTCATTTGTTGATGTGGAGCAGCTTTCCGAAGTTGAAGTTTGTGAGCGTCGCCCATCAGCCGGTGGAGTATGAGCCGTGCAATCGAGGCCGGTCGAGTGATTTGTCTGCAGTGCGCAGATGCGCCAAACACGCACAAACACGCAAACACTTCAGCTTCCAAGAACACGTGTCAGACGGCGCCGAACGGGCACTTCGGGAGAGAAGCTGTTAGTGAGGGTTAATGGTTGGAGATCGTCAGAAAGCCTCCCAGACAAAGCGGATTCCCGTACAGCTGGAAAGGAAAAGAGAAGAGCCGGTGAAAGATTTGCCCTCTGGAATAACAAAGGGCAGGAATCCGGACTGGGAGAGTGACGCTAGAGAAAAATAAAATGAGGCATATTTGTGCCGGAAATCAATCACATTTGAGGCGTGGGTGAGAGAGCAGAGAAAGGGATCATAATCTTCTCAGCGCCCTCTGTGACCGTTTGCCCTCTCCTGTACAGCGCTAAACCCCCAACCTGACGGGTATTAATCCTCACCGCCAACCTCATCAATACTGGGCTGCTAAAGCGTGCACCCCACAGCTGTGTGTGTGTGTGTGTGTTGAACATGCATCTTTCCTGCATCAGACTCAAGAGGGAAAGTGTGTGTAATGACAGCTTTAGTGCTGTGTGTGTGTGCGTATGTGTGTGTGTGTGCATTATCTCCGGGCCTGCTTATCTGTCATCCAGCCCATTGAGTGGCAGGAGGAGTTGGTTTTGCAGCCCGCAGGGAGGGATTATTATGGCTGGTTAATTTACAAGGTCATCTCCACTCACTGGTGCCGCCGCCCTCGCTCGGCTCATAATGCCGCCGCCAGAGTTCTTGAGGCAGCTTTGGGCCTCTGCGTGATTCTTTTTTTTTTTTGTCGAGCTTCTTCGTTAAACTCGTGTGGTCCGAGGAGAAAGGAGAAGACGCAGTTGTTTCAGCTGGCAATCTCACAATGCTGCACTCGATACAGGGAATGCCAGTTGTGTGTGTATACAGATCACCATTGTCATGTTCATTTCACTTTTTTGCCACTGTGATGGAGACAACTTTAATGTTGAGGGATCTGTAGAGACGGAGGCTCTATCGGTCTCCTTTCCAACATAAGCTTTTGAATAAGCTTGACCCGTTTTGTGTGAATTGAGACCAATGGGAACAATAGAAGAAGCGCACTACTATTTGTCACTGTTGTGGTCCGGCTCTGAGACAGTAGCAAATAGCGGAAAACACACGAGGGGTTTGAGGAAAAATATACTTTTATTTACCCGTAAAACAGGAATAAAGGAACCTGACGACGCCGGGATAGGATGAAGGACTCCGCTCCGGTGTCACGTATTATGGTACCCACTGCAGACACGTGTACTTCTGTCATAAAAGCCAAATACAAACTAAAAGTCGGCCTTCACCGTGACAGATGGCAGCTCGCTCAATTTATCAGAAATGTCCAGACTAGAAAACTGCCGCAGCTAAAGCGGCTGGTTTCACATGCGCTCCTTTGTGCTTATCTCTTCCCCGTTGACCCCTCTCATTGCAGAAATGACACATTTTGTCAGACTTCCTTGACACCGCGGTCACCATAGCGGCTCGTAGAAATCCCCAGCAGGCACATTCTGTCTACCGACAGCAGCTCCCGAATTGGGTCATCATATTACGGGCAAACTCGAGATGTGACTTATCTCCCCTTTTTCTCCCGTCGTCCACCTTTTCGGTATCGCAGCCTTAACCTTTTCATAATGGCCGAAGTCCCTCGCGGTGAGCGGAGAGTACACACCATCCGGCCCCGGATCCAACCGGGGCCCCCGTGTCGGCAACAAAGTGAAGGACGTCGCAGCGTCTTTCTCATTAAACTTTGGCTCTCGGTGTAAATCACTCAAAATGTCATGTGAATTATCACCCCGAGCCAATTCTTCATTCCCTGACCTATCCAACAACTTACCTTCCTTCATTAAATAGACTTTTTAAATCCAATCCGTTCGTTTCTTTCCAATGCAAAAGCTTTCATTAACTGCTTGCTGCTGTATTCTTTCCAATTCAAAATCGCATCCCTTTTTTACTACTACATTCTTAATCTTAACATTGTAGGAATGTACAGTATTGACCTTACCCGTGCACAAAGTGAATGAGCAACTCAATCCTAGTCTTCAAGGGGTTTGGTATTTATGCGCTAAAGCCCAAATATGGGTGACTGAAAACAACCTACTGCCCCTGCAGCTAACTCACCACATGGATGTGACAATGCAGGATTAAATAGAAAAACAAAATCTTGCTTCCAGGTGTTGTAATGAGGAAGGAAAGAAGTGAAGGAGAGAAAAAATACACCCAAAGCCTTTTTTTTTTTTTTTTGCAACACCGAAAATGAACAAAACTTTAAAACAGTTTCTCTTATTAAGTCTGTGACCTTTGCTGTATGATGCAGCGCCACCGCTAGAAGACTTTCTGAAGCTTAATGAGGCAAATGTAATTTATAAACTTATCATGTCATTCGTCTGACATTAGCAGAGGCGTTTTTTTATGTCCGCAGAGGGAGGGAGGCCGCACTGTGAGAAAAGCCTTGCATAAAGTAAATGTAATGATAAATTACAGTGTGAAATGATCTCCAAAGAGGTGTAAACAAGATATTGAAGAAAAAAAAACATTCATTGATATTTATGAGGCTCTGCTTTCGAGCCGGAAGGGACCTCACTTTTAAAGGAGAATTCTCCTATGAAATAATGCAGATCGTGATTGCCTGACGGCCCTTTTTACTCCACCAAAAGAAAGATTACTGATGGATTAAAGGCGACAGTATGGTGAGAAAATGCATATGATGGGACAAATTTTGTAAGGTTGTTTATCATGAAAGCTGCACTTTTTGGTAGAATCATCTTTTCAGATTTTACTGGAGTTGTGTGTGTTTTAATGGCATGCATTTAAACAGAGCTGAGTAAATGATTGACAGAAGTATGCTATACTAGAGCCTTAAGTCTGAAAATGACTTTGTTTGTGTGTGTGTGTGCGTGTGTTCGCGGGTACACACAGATAATGACTGATATCTTCGCAGTCGGGCACCAGCAGGCTTAAAGAAGAGTTTCTCTGTTTGAAAAGTTTCTCAGCCTTTGCACTGCGTCAGAGATAATGAGTCATTTACATTCCAATCCAAACAGCAGGTGGTGAGGGTTATGAATAAAGCTCTGCCTTGAGTGTCTTATTTACATCATTGCAGATTTGTCTGCATTTTCACACTTTTTTTAGCAGTTCAGACAAGGAAATTTAGATTAGACCCCCCCCCCCCTCTCCAAACTCCTTTTATCTCTGCTAATCGCGTCTACCTAAGTGTTTGTGTCAGCACGTATGTGATGTGCATGAACCCGTTTCCGATTGCAAGGTCCTGGTGATTATTTAAGTGCGAGCTCTGTATTTAGTTCCCTATTGTCATACATGTTGCGTCTCCCCATAATAAATACAATCATTTAAAAAGGGAAGGAACGGGAAGGACCAAAAGGAGGTGTTCCTTCCAGGAATGTGTTCTTGCTGGCACTGCTCACAGTACAATCTCATCGTATCAATAAACCGTATAATTGTTTTTTTGTGTTGTAAAACAAACAAGTGACACGTGCACAATGGAAACGTTTTGAGGAAAGAAGGCAGATGAGACGGGCATCTTTTGTACACCAGTGGCCCGTCGCCTCTCCGCTGTGGGCTTCCGGTGTAGAAAAGGACAGCCGACACTTTGAAGTGTTTCCCCCCCGTGTGTAACACAAGAGCCCCAAACCCTTAAAAAAAAAATAGGCTGCCTGTTCATTTTGAATAGAGCAGCAGCCTTGAAAGAGCATACATTTGCAAATAGTTTGCATCTGATTTAGTGCGACTTGAATACCATTTTAAGAACATCAAATAACCACCTCATTTGAATGTTTCTAAAATCAAAAAAAAAAGATAAGTGCTCTTCCACTTACTCGGCCTTTTACAGGGTCAAATTCAATGTAGTTGCTGCGTGTCATTTATTATTTTTTCTTTTAAAACTAACCTGCAGTGATACCAAGGTTTTTTGTTCAACAAAAGCTGTTTAAATTTTCTATTGTTAAATTTTCCTTTTTCTATGAATCATTTATTGTGTGTTCAGAAGCTCTCACGTCAGAAGAACATTCATCCGTCTCTCCGTTCACGCCGCAAGCTTCACTGCTCAATTCTGATGTATTGCTGGGATTCTATTCTCTCTCTCTCTCTCTCTATATGGTGTTGCACGCATCCAGTGAGACTGGATTAGTCCACTTAGACTCTGGAAACATCCCAAAGCACAGCGAAAAACACCCATCACAAGCCCACATCTGTGGAGACTGGTTTGTTGTGGAACCAGTATGAACTGGGTGACTTGTGCAGAAATGTGTCGCCGGTGAATGTGAGGTTTGAAATCCAGATAAAATGGTTTGCCTTTAGTGTCGCGGGCTAAAGTGTCTGTCTGTCTGTGTGCAGCACTCTTGAGGGCGTGTGCCGATGGAGCTGCCAATCACCTTTACAGCAGCACCGCTGGAGATAGAGACAGGTGAGTGCGCAAATGTTCTGCACAGGTTAGCGTTTTCTTTCTTTCTGTCCCTCCTGTCCTGATGTTTTTTTTCTGATGACGTTTTTTTCCAATATTGTTGTGTGTGTGTTTCTGCTTAAGTACTACATGCACACACACACACAACATATACTACTAGTATGTGTGCGGCTAATGGAAGACTGCTGTTGGGAGGCAGATGGATCGGCGCTTCGCCGCGTCCTTTAAGTGTTGAGGCTTTTCACAAGGCGAGTCTTAGCTCGGGTTGTGAATGCGACGTGGTGTGTTTGCGTGTGCATGTGTGTGTTTGTGTTGTACTGCGGTGACAGCCGGTTTAAATCGGACACATCGGAGGTGAGGACATATTTGCACAGGGACTTCATTTAAGCCCATTCACACCTTTTCAGAGAGCAGACTTGTGACTTCATGAGTTCAAAGCTGAACTTTTAAGTGGACGGAGCAGATCAGCACATCTATTTGGCTTTGGGACCATTAATCAAGCTTTCTTATCATATTGTGTTTCCGGAGTCAAACTTGTTGTTAAAGTCGTGTTGTAACAACACCACTTGAGGGAACAGCCCACAGTTTTTCGGATTCATTGTAAATCGTATCCATCCGCTTGGAGGATGGATGTCAGCCGATCCAAATCATAAACAAGCGGAGGTAGACTCATTTTGTAATTACACAATATGCAACGCTCAATCAACTGCGATTATTCTCTAATTCTAATCTAACTGATGCTTCGGGATGGAAAAGAAGCCTCACAGTTTAATTTAGAACTACAATAATTCCACATTAGAGAGATTTAAAGTACTTGATGGAGATGAGGTCCTAACTGGTGCATTCATTTTGGTTTTGTACACGTATTCCTTTTCCTAGTGATGTTTCTCCGTCGCAGTGCATGCGTTTGAGCTTGTTTGTCGTGCTGGCCGAGTGTGCTCGTGTTGCACTGCGTGTTCGTTCTCTGACCCTCCGGCCCTGAGAACCTGTCAGCGGCCTGTGCAGCGGAGCTGTCAGCCAGGCCGCCCTCACAGCCCCGTTGCTCCCGACCCAAACAAAAAGTTGTACATTACACGGTGGAGGGAGGGAGGGAGGGAGGGAGGGAGGGATGTAGAGAGATTCCGCAATGAAGGGGGGAAAAAAACATAAGGATAATGTTTATGGATGGGGGAACGCACGTCAGGTTTGGATGTATTTAACCTCGCATTACCACAAGTAATGGACTACAGAGGAGGGGAGACGCAAGTGATCGATCAAAGCCGCGCTCTGTGAAAACCCTGCAGAGGCCCAGACAACAGCAGTGCGTAACCAAACGGAGGCTGTAAGCAGAGACGTGCAGGACGAGAAAAACAAACCACACAACTGCTGGATAAATGTTGTGCTAGAAGCAAGATGAAGAGGTCGTGCCTGCGCGTGAGTCCGTGTGTGTTATGGTGCGTCTGCCTGTTTCTGTGTTTGAGGATGGGAGTACAGCAGCAGATATAATAGTTCAAAGATTTTGTTTGTCAGATACATGCAAAGCAGTGAGTAAGGAATTCCCCCCCCCCCCCCCCAAAAAACTTCAATGCTGCCCAAATTGTCAACGTGCGCTGACATTATGCTGCTGGAGATTTAAGTTCGATCTGTTGAGGAGAATTGAGCCATTTAATTTATCCCGCAAGGGAAACCGGGCCTGAAGTTGGCTTTGTGGAGGACAAACCCGAATTTAACATATGTAGCGTTACATTTTATTTTTACAGGTTTTCTTTGAAATGCATATTAAGGCAACCCAACCCCCCTCCCCCATCGCCGCTGCCTGAAAAAGAGATGGCCTTTCAATGACCTTCGAATGTGTATTTCCACAGGAAGATGTGGGTGAATGCGGATGAGAAATGAACCGCGTGGATAACAAGTTTGCGGTCTGCGGCGTCCGGCTCTGCCGCGGGGACAAAGTGGGTGGATGGTTAAAAGACAGCCGCCATGTCATTTTCTGTCCAAACAGCCTTAATAGTAGTCATTGAGGATGAGGAGGAGGAGGAGGATGTTACTTCAGGTCGAGGCTTCCTGTCTCTCCTGATGACTGTCGTCAAGGATTCAACGTCACCTTGCGGGAGTTATTAGTTAGTTAAATGGTGAATATTTAAACGTTCATATAAAATTCAGACAGAACTTGAATCCATTCATTCATCCATCTTCTTTTTTTTTTTCCTCAAAGTGTCTCAAAAACGCCACGTTATCATTTTTCCTTCTGTTTGAGTTGCCTTTTGATAAACGCTCCCGTCACTGGTGTCCTTTGAGCTGTGACGTGTTCTCTGATGATGTACAGTACATGGCGGATGCGTACGCACGTGATTTCTTTGAGTAGTTGCTCGGTTCTGACAAATCTTTGCCCTTCGTTTGCTCTTTTTTTCGATGACATGGTTGCGGGAAATTGCTCAAAGTCCCATTATTATACCTGAATGACGGTTGCTCATCCGATCATGCTTTGTCTCGCTAGATTTAATGGCTTTTACTTTTGTCTTTCCATCTAATCTGTTTTCTTTTTTTCATCTGTTAACACCAGACGCGAAGCACTATTCATAATTTGCATGCATGGGAAAATATCTATGTGCTGCACTTTGTAATTAGAGACTTTAGCTCTAGTTTGAGGTTGGCAGACTGATCAGCTGGTAACCGCTCAGCAAAAAGCCAGATCCAGTTAGTGCTGTGACTCCTGCGCACTATAGCGAGGTTCTATAGTGCACTTACTTATTTTATATGACACATCGTCATGGTTTGAGGCATTCTTTCCTCTTCTCTTTTTTTCATTCAATTTAGAGCTATTGGTTTAATTCGTGCATCTAATCAAAACCTCAGAGAGGATAAGAGGTCAAGAGATGGATGAAAGGAGGTCAGTAGGGTTGGGGGGGGGGGGGGGCGGCATTGTCCACTAGCAGAGGTCATGCTGCTGGCTAAGCATGTGCACAGCAGTGTCGCATTATGACTGTGTATGCATCTCTGTTTTGAAACGAAGCTGTCCGGTGCAAGACGACAGATTTCACAAGACCTAATGGGGAGATAAGAGATATCTCCGACAGACACACTCTTTATTTGTCTTTCATGTCGTATTTCCTCATTTCCTATCTCGTACCTTTTTATCCTTCAAACTCGCCTGACAGACATGTGTGATGATGAATTGAATTTGGTGAGCAGTGAGGGTCAGCAAAGATGTCTGAGGCGGATGCCTGTTTAGAATAAACCTGATAAGGGTTCACATGTATCAAACTCTTAAAACGCTCCCTGCAAAAATGCTGCAGTCGAAAGTCTCACTGCTTCGTTATTGAGGAGCTATTTTCTTTGTTGCACATTCACAGTCGTTGTATATAAAGTTACCGCAGTGCGTCTCTTCTGTTAGCAATTATAGACTTTTATATTATTTGTTCTTTATTGTCACTTGTTTTCTTCTCTTTTGTTTATTTTCCCCAGATATTATCGCGCTTTTCTGCTCGACGTGGGGTTGGAAGTCCCCTGTGTGTTACCACTTTACTGCGCTGTGTGGGAAATGGCCCCGCTGAGTGGAGCTTGATGAGCGTTGGGAACCGGCCCTCACCTTTTAAAAGTCGCTTTTTGTTTGTCGACACGTTTGCTGTTGAGTCCTAACAATTGAGACTTTCCCCCTCCCTCCCCCAAGTGTAATTATGAAAGTTGGTTATTACTGACGAACAAATCGAGTCACAGCAAACACAAATGGCATCATGTTGCCACAGTCGCGCACGGGTCCAACCATCGCGGAAATCAGCTGTTTTTTTTAAGAGTTTCCAAACCAGCTGACATTTGTCGTATTTGAGGTCTACAAATGTTTACATCTTATCAGACATCGCGTGTCATTTGTCAGAATCTGTGAGATTGTGTCTGTGCATTTTATTTCATCAGTCTTTTCTTTTTTTTCACACGGAACGTGTCAAAGGGCTTCACAGACGTTCATGCGTCGTTCATTTTGTCACCCAAAATAATCCCTCTTCCCCTTCAGCGGCCTCGCGCCTCTGATTGGGAGACGGGAGGGATGAGAGGAGTAATCAGAGCTGCATCTCCTCTCGAGTGCCGACGAAGACGAGAAAAGGGGAGAAGAGCGTGTTCATGGCGCTCGATTCAGCAGGCAATGTGAGATGCGAGGACACAAAACAACACCTTGTGTTCTGATTAAACGGTCGTATGGTTGAACGCTCAGGCTTGATGTGAGTGAAACACAAACAGGATGTATAAGATGGTTAGATTGACGGAGATTGCCTCAGTTACATACAAAAGTAAGTAATGCAGAAGGAAAATGAAACAGGATTGGCAAGAAGGTTCCCGAGGAGCCACGGGGAGGAGATGTGTCGATCGGCGGGCCGAGGGAGGGACACACACACACACACACAAGCAGGCTAATGGACAAACGCACAAGCAAACGCAGGCAAAGGTCACGCAGCCATCCCAGCAGCCCCGGCACTCAGACGAAGTGGCGGTAAAATGCTCTATTTCCCGTCCAAATTAAAGTGTCAGTTAATATTAATGTGGAAGTGAAGACTGTCAGACGCACAGCACGCAGACACACAAACACACACGGGCACAAATACTGAATTTAGAACCTCGCCTGGTCAATTACCATGAGGCGATGGAGTCGTGCACATAGGTCACAACGGGTGTGTGTGTGTGTGTGTGTGTGTGTGTGTGTGTGTCGCTTTGATCAGGCCCAGTGCAACGTCTCGTCCCATCTGTCACATGAAGGTTATTTCAGAAGGACATGCAGTTGTGACGCCCTGCGTTATGACGCGGGTGAATTGTGCTCGTGTGTACTTTCTTATTTGCAGATGTTTGTGCATGTGCGTGCGTGCGTGCGTGTGTGTGTGTGCGCGTGCGTCAGACATTTTTTTTTTTTGCATGTGAATGTGTTCGTTTGGACTGTTGCAATGTTTTTACCAAGATTGTTCAGCTCAGGTAGCAACATTGTGCTTGATCGACTTTACGTGTGTGTGTGTTGGTGTGCGTGACAGAAGACAATATATAATGGCGGTTCTATTTGTCTTGCTGTATCTTTTGGGGGTAAATAGGAACAAGGAGTGTGGGGGGGGGGGGTAATCCTTCTGTATCTCTTTCTTCAACCGACCGGAACATCGCTCTCTTGCTGGGAGAACACACACACACACACACACACACACACACACACACACACACACACACACACAGAAATGCACTAACCAACCAACCATGAAATCGTAATGTCAGACCTCTTAATGCCTCTAGATAACGGTAACCGCATCTCTTCGTGGTCCTGCTTCTCTCACACACACACACACACACATGGAATAAACAGAGCGCTATCCGTCTCTCTGGCAGGAATGTTCCACTCAGTAGTCCCTGGAAGATTTTGGGTTGTTTCCATTGATATTTTCTAGAGACGCTGTTATTTCCTGCACTTTGGGAACGCAGGCCGCCTGCACACAGTCGCATGAGGACGAATAAAATGTGGCGTGATATTTGTATTCAGAATGTACGTATTTTCCCCAAACGTCCTGTCCGGTTTCATTTTCCATTGAAATCCTCTTGATTGCATGTTTTAGCATAGAATTTCTTTAGGTTTTTTAGGAGTTTGGAATTTGTTTTTTTTGGATTCATTGTGCCTGTTTTCTGAGGGGCTTTTCTGGGTTTTATGAGTCCTAAAAAATTGCGACTGGGTGAATTCACTTTCAAGCCAATATATTGCCTTTTCATTTTCTTTTGTCACCTCATAATCAGTTGTATAAAGAAATGGGCATAGTGACCTTACATAAGCAGGCAACAGTTAAGAAACACCGCAGCTATATCAATGTATTTACTAATCGTTTAAAATGGGTGAAATATGCACTAATAAACAAAGCTTAAGTGATATAGAGGGTTAATCATGGGTGATCTGAGTAATGTGTAAACTGCCGTGATCAGCATCTTTCAGCAGACCGATCTATGGAGACATAAAATAAGCCTTTAACCTCTTTACATATAACAGGACTTTTTGTGATATTACAGCGTCCATGTCAGTGGTCCAGATGAATAGACCTGTTCCTAAAAACAGACACACAGACTATTTGTATCACCTTATTTCACCGTTTACCCTTACAGTATCCTGCGTTGATTGATCGCGCGTTTGATAAGTTGAAATTGCTCTGTGACCTGTGGTAATCAAACCCATCCGCAGCGCCACTGGAGAATGTAGTCAGTCAGTGTAATGGAACAGGCCAATATCGGACCAACACCAGGCACATCATGCTCTGTTTATTTGGGTGGGTGTCGCGTTTGTGTGTGACAGAACGTGGTTGTGTACGTGTGTGCTTTCACATCGATCCCTGCAGAGTGTGTGTGTGTGTGTGTGTGTGTGTGTGTGTGTGTGTGTGTGTGTGTGTGTGTGTGTGTGTGTGTGTGTGTGTGTGTGTGTGTGTGTGTGTGTGTGTGTGTGTGTGTGAGAGAGGGAGAGACAGCGCCACGCTCACTGCCACAGAGAATCACCCTGTCAGTCTCTGCGTCTCTTCGTCTTCCCCCGGCGGCTGGCGCTCCCTCGCTGCACAGATCAAAGAGCTGACACATGCCCCGATGTCCCCTCTCCCCGTCTCTCGTCTATCTCCCCCTTATACTCTCTGTCCTGCTCGCAATCGTAACCCTCTCCCTCTGTCACTCACCCTCTCTTTCTGTCCTCACATGCAGCTTTCTTCCTGACTATATCAGTGGGGATTTTGATTCCATTACTGCCGAGGTCAAAGCGTTCTATGGAGACAAGGTGAGTTGAACACAACGTGCGCACACAAATCTGCTCGTGTACAAACAGTGGCAACACAACAACATGAACAAACACACACACACACGTGAACAAAAAGAAAAAACAAGAACTTGTTGAAGTTCACAATACCAAAACAAGTAGCTGCCAGTAGATCAGCAGAGCTGTAATAGAATAGTCTAATAGATAAAAGGCTCCTTTTAAACTCTGTGTTTGTAAAATGATCAATGGTACATACACTGCTCTGTTATCAGAGGTGTCTTAAGTGTGAGTATTTTCAATGATGCAAGGCAAATAACCTTAATCCTGAATTCAGGCACATGTTCTCTCCCAAATGACCCTTTGAACTGTGACTGGATTCAGCAATCTAAACCCTGAGCATATCTGCAGAGCATGAACTATTATCTCAGCTTGAGAAACACCCCCGTGTGTGTGTGTGTGTGTGTGTGTGTGTGTGTGTGTGTGTGTGTGTGTGTGTGTGTGTGTGTGTGTGTGTGTGTGTGTGTGTGTGTGTGTGTGTGTGTGTGTGTGTGTGTGTGTGTGTGTGTGCGTGACGCAGGGTTACAGGATTGACATCAGGCAAGTGGATAAGTGACTACTCAGAGATGACTGGGGTTTAATGGCCCGTATGCTGGAGACTCTCCAGGAGTTGCAGCTGCACGGACAAGAACATGCAGACTGAACGATCAGAGTGGGTGTAAATGAGCAGGTTGACTCGGTGCACTCAAGGTGCGTTTAGACCCGGTCATCAAAAACTACCTCCGCCCGTGGTCCTATTTTAAGTGTAATTCACTGGCTGCTGACTCAGCGGCACGCGGGCGTTTCGAGCCTCTCTGCTAGCGGCCCGAGCACCTTTCGTGGCTCTGCAGATCATTTGAGCATCTCCAACTTAAAGGTAAAGGATGTCATTGTAACTACTTTAACCACAGCTACTGGTCCACGCAATTGTTGGATGTACTTGTGAAAATTCCCCTCAGATGAGTTGCCCGTGTAGAAATTAGGGGGAAAATAATATCTGACAACACATTTTTCTTTTCTTACTTCTCAGGAAAATACAGTGCTTTGATCAACATATCTGAGAGGGTTGAATCACTTTTGGATTGATGTGTTAACACTTAACACATTTTAACATAAGAAATAATGTATTGTAAAAATATCTAAATTATACACGAACATTTTCTGGGTTTAAGAGTCTTTCTGACTGCATTATTTTCTTTGCCTCCTGCTTGTACCCCAAGTTGCGTAAGATGTAGGCAAATCTAGACTCAACCATCCAGGGTCCTGAAGATAAAGTGGTAATTCTTCTATTAAGTGGACTCTCACGACAAGCAAAATGTCAAACCAGAACCTTTTGAGGAAATGTCTCTGATCCCACCCGGGTCACAATGCACTGTGCTCGCACACACACACACACACACACCATCACACCTAAAGATACTCGCACACAACAATACGAGTTAACACCCTCCCTTTTCCTCACTATTTCCCCCTCTCTCTGTAGCTGTCTGAAATATTACTCATCTCACAAATATCACACGTGTTGCCTTTAAAAGATAAAGAGCAACACCTTTTTTTCTTCCCCTGACAGTAAACCAACTTTTGTGGTAATACTTAAGCAGCAGAACAATGGGAAAGTTTCGGAAACTGAATAATTCTGCATAAATGCAGGGGAGAAAAACAGAAAAGCATCCCCAACGGGAGGGAGAGAGACGAGGAAGCAGGAGGGGGAGGGAGGGAGCGAGTGAGGATGGATGGGATCAAACAGAGCACAGCGAACGTGTGTGTGTGTGTGTGCGTGCGTGTGCGTGCGCGTGCGCGCACGAAAAGGAGACATAGGCCACCCCAGACTATGGTTGTTTACCTGGATGCTGTAGTTGGGGACCACTGACTGGAACCTCTACATTATTCAGCGACACAGCCCACCGACAGCCAGACAAGACTTAAACACTGATTTATACTTCTCTCTATCTCGTTGTGTTTTTCCGTGCTTTGTTATCCCATATGCCTTATCTCTTCGTTGGCTTTTTGTTTTGCTATCTGGGAATGTGTACATCCATCTGATTATGTTGCCGTGTTGTCCGAATGTGTGTGTTTCCCTTTTTCTTTGTGCGTAGGGCTGCAAGCTGATAGAAACCGCTGACCAGGATCTAACAGACTTCACCAAGTGCCTCGTGATCATGGTGGGCGAAATTCAGAGGCGACAGTTGCAGGTAGATGTATGATTTAAAATCTTCACATTTTATTTCTTTAATGCTAAGTAATTGGTTAACTTAGCATAACGACTGGAAGTGGGGGGAAAAAACAGCTGGCTGGACTGCTAAGCTCAAATACGCCCTAATGTATTTTCATAATGAGGGGGTCATTTTTTGGCCCGGGAGCAGTGACTTCATCGGCATAACGATGCCGCTTTTGAAACAGTGTTTTTAACAAGAATACATATTTCTAAAAGGATATGTTACTGCTATTAAAAATATATCTTTGTTTGCTTTTTTGCACCGTGTTAAACAAATAAAGCTCTCCTCTCACTCGGCCTCTGCAAAATTAGCACCTTAAGCCAGGAATTCGGCCCTCAGTTACTTAAGATCATCTGCTCAGAGGTCAATCGTGTTGGAATGTGGTCGACAGGGGCCAGATTTGTGTGTGTGTGTGCGAGTGGGCGCGTGTGGGCGGGTGTGTGAATATGAAACAGCCTGCTGGAGGGAGAGAACGCTCACTTGACATTCCCCGAAGAAATGAGTGTGGGAAAAATATCGCTGGAACAATATGAGCCACATTTACACCTACACTTGAAGAGGCATCGGGTTACCGAGGGCCGGCCAGGTTTCAAATGAACCACTTTGGTTGTGATATTTTCAAAGTTTAAAGCATTTACTAACAAATTGACATCCAAAAAATGCAAGAGGAGCCGGCAGCCGTCGCGGTGCCGCGCACAGCCCGACACGGACGTCTGATCCACAGACGGGCTCCTTCCATTTTCACTCTTGACAACGTCGAGTGAAGACTTGCATCACGTGAGGAAAATTAGTGCAGGCTAATAGAACAAAAAGTATATCCGTAATTGTCAAAACTAAGGTCCTCATTAGGGGAGTGTGTGTGTGTGTGTGTGTGTGTGTGTCACACTCTTTCTCTATCTGTGTTTCTGCCACTGTTATAATTTTCAGCCTCCATGCCGAGTGTTGCTCCAATCACTTCACCTCTCCACGCTGATGAAAGGTCGCAGAGAAGTGCACGTTATCTCATCCAGTATGCACGCATGCTGTCACAGCGCGGTTTGTCACATTGTGTGTTTTCTCGTTCATTTGCCTTGTTTGGTTCAAAGATGAGATGTAATTTTGTCGTGGGCCGGCTAATGTTCCCTCTGCCTTTGAACTACCGGGAAATCCCTTTTTTTCGTGTCCATTAAGAATTGCTGACGATGACTTTTGATTGTTTACTTGGATATTTCCATTGTTCTTTACCTTTTTAGTTCCCTTTAGCAATTTAATGTGGAGTTATATGTATAGGCATTGTGCTCCAGTTTATGTTTATGATTGAACTTATTAGCCCCCGAGGGTTGATTTTAGAGAATGAACTTGTTTTCTGTTGGTTGACAACCTGAATAATGGTATCAGAGGATTATGGTGTGTGTGTGTGTGTGTGTGTGTGTGTGTGTGTGTGTGTGTGTGTGTGTGTGTGTGTGTGTGTGTGTGTGTGTGTGTGTGTGTGTGTGTGTGTGTGTGTCTCCTTGTGCCTTTCTGCAGTGTCTATATGTACTTGTTAAAATGTGTGCTTGTCTGTCTGTCTCTCTCCCAGTTAGCTTCTCTCTCCTTGCTGCACCGTCGCAGACATGAAGTTCTTTCGGTCTTTTCTCTGGTTATGTGTTCACGCCATCTCCAATAAATGAATACGACTTTTTGTGTTGGTCTCTGAGCCTCGTTGGCTCGCTCTGGCGTCCCGCGGCCAATCGGGAGACTGCATGGACGGAGCCGTCGGGCCAGCTTGTTTAGATTCTCTTCATTCAGTTGTGAGATTATCTGTCCCCTGCTTGTTTTTGTTGTCCTGTTTTTTTTTTAGTAAACAAACATGAAATAGGATCACACAAAAATGTGAAAGTATGGACGTGTTCGGACAATGAAACGGTGTGGTGGAAGCAAAAGACTGAAACACTGAGCGTCTTCTCTCCAGTCCTCCTTTTCTCTTCCGGCTTTGTCTGCTGTGGCTTCCTCTCTCGTGGCCACGGCGCCTTTTGAACCGACGGATGCGCCGCGCCGACGCCGCTCGCTTCTAGTTGGATCCATCCGCTCCTCTCTCATTCTTTCTCTCCTTTCAGGGCGTTCTTTTGTGTGTGAAAGAAATGTTATTAGCAAGAAATAACAAAGGTGGGAAGGACGTGGGAGATGTATTTGGCAGATGGTTTGGTTTATGAAAAAAAGGGCCCAAGATATTGTAAATAAGAGATCCTATTTATAAAAGAAAAACCATATATTCACTTTTGAAATGTTGGTCCAGAATAAATAAATCATTTATTTAATATATTATGACGTCTTATTTGCCAAAGTCTGATAAGGCGTATTTCTCTGTGGCATATGCTGTATCAGTGGGCCACATGTGGGTGACACATTGGTGCCGTAAATACTTGAAGATTTATCTCTCTTGTTGGAATAATTGAGCTTGTGTCTGAGACTCGCAGGCGATAGTCTTTTTTTTGTTGTTGCTATTTTCATGGTGTTGACAATAAATCAATAAGTCTGGGACACCAGGTTGAGATGGGATGTTTTTGCTAATTTTTTATGTTCCCACTTGTCTAGTGTAACACGTGGATAGTTTACAATGCATTTTAAATATGGTGAATTTCAGATGTTTTTTACCGCATTTTAAATATTTGTTTTTCAAATTCCAGGGATGTTTGTGACTGGGATATTTCCATTTGTTATACTTTATAACCTCTCTCTTTCTCTCCGTCTTGTTGTTGTTGTTTACACTTCAGGTGGAGCCTGTGTGCATACGGGGGCGTCAGCCAGATGTTGAAATAATCTCAATCTCTCAGCGCTTGGTTTTGTTTTAACTCCGTTGCCCAAGGCAGGAAGTCAGTAACAATAGACTCGGTTGGGGAAACCGTGATCTTTCGTCTTGGGTTAATACCGAACACATTGAGGTATTGTTGGAGTTGTAGAGGGGAAATAAAAATATTTTTTTTTTAGATTTTCAGGCGATAATGTTTCCTGTGGTGTCTACCGCATCCTAAGAGGCAACCACAGCATCAGAAAATTAATTTCTGCTAATATTTTCTTGTTGATATATTGTGTGAAAACCTTGCATCAGAGTGATGGAAGTGAGCCTCTGACAGCGTCTCTGCCCTCTGGACTGTTTCTAAGCCTGTCAGCTCTGATGCTCAGGGGCTTTTTATTTTTTTATAACTGCTGAGGGACGTAAATAGTGTATGTATGAGAACTGCTGGCTCGTAGCTAAGAACAAGGATGCAGGAAATGTCGTTAATTTAAGCGATAAATGTAGTTTTCTTGATTTGCCGTTTACCTGGGCGCAAGTAACTGATTTAATCCTCATTTATGACGCCCAAATTTGTTTTAGAATCTACCACAGACCACTTTTTTTCTGTCTTCCATCTCAATTTTCTCTCAACGCTCTGTCCTTGCTGTGTCTTTCTTTTATTAATCAAGTGTCTGTACTAGTTTTTTTATGTTTAATGAATAGGCTAGGAATATTCAAAAATGTTCATATTCAGATTCCATGAAAATACCAAACCAATAATTTGGTTATTTTGTGCAGTCTGTCCACACCATCCTCGTGAGGCCGATGTCTTCAAAATGTTTGGAGAGTTTTGTTCCAATTTTACACATACGTCCACTTGGACTCACGGTGGAAGGGATTAGAACATTTTCTGCTGTACCTAAATACACAATATGCTAAAATGTACAATTTCACACCAATTTCAGGGTAAAATGACGACCTGTTGCATAGACATGGATGTGAACTCCAACTGCAACGGTTGATAGAGGTATACAACTAGGAGCTGGAAGGATTCTAGTTGTGATGTACCATACTTTCCCATAATAAGTTTCCAAATTATTCCTGATGGAGAATCTATTTTGCACACTTCATCAGAGCAAAACATACCTTGGCTTTTTCCACACAGAAGCATTCAGGACAAAAGTTTCAAGTCTTGTTTTCATTTTCTTTGTTTTTCTGAAACCACTTCTTCTGTCATTTTTCTTCGCTGAGACCAAACAACAACCTTCTTCCAGACGACCAGTCCAGTAAGTTAAACCGTGGCATTTTTCTGTGTCTTATTATACTCTGTATGTCTTTCCAGGTGGATGCCATAGTGACACTGGGCGGCCTTGCTGGCAGGTTTGACCAGACCATGGCGTCTGTCGAGACCCTCCACCACGCTCTGTCCATGACTCCACTGCCCCTGTTGATCTTACAGGGGAGCAGCCTGGTACACCTCCTCAGACCAGTGAGTGTGTTATTAAATGACACGGTGAAAAGCTGCTGTATCATCATGTCACTTCTAATGACGGTTTTCAGTTGCGTATTAAAAGTACACTCGCAAGCACTAGATCAGCGATTCCCAAAGTCTGGGCCGAAGGTATTGCAGGTGGGCCGCGAGAGGTCATTTACAATAAATAAATAATTTAATACAGTTACGGTTAATACATTTTTAATCGGTTACATTCTTAAGGTCATTTATCATCCCTAGTTTATGTTTTGATCAGAGTTGTGATTAAAGGTTTGGGTGGGCCGCAAAAGATATTCAGATTTCAAATTGGGCATTCTTGAGTTTGGGAACCGCCGCTCTAGATCATCCATTGGCTGTGTATGAAGACCTATCCAGATAAAGTCTACGAAACCAACATATCTTTCTGCTTCCCGTCGCCCTCCCCCGGTCCTTGTCTTCATCTTCCTTTCTCGCCCTTGTTTCCCTTGCTTGGCCTCACTGCTTCCACCTTGATTGGAGTGTTGAACACTTTGTTTCTTTGTTAAATAATCACTTCAACAACCTACACACACACACACACATACTCTCTTCTCAGCCCTCTCATGGTGCCCCAATTTGCTGTTGTGCACAAGAGAGAGAGAGAGAGAGAGAGTTTCTTTTGATTCTTGCAAATTGTTTTTCCTCAATGCCAGCCACTTTCTCATGCTCCTCAGTTGATTGAGTTTACAAGTGGCACCATTTGGGACACACACACCCCCCACCCAACCTCATATTGTTTATTTGCAGAATCTCCAGGACGAAGTGTCACACTTCCTGATGACACCTTGTAATACACTAAGTAAACCTTTCTATCATGCACTCCCTCCCTACTTCATGTCATTATTCTAAAGGCGCGTTGTCATTTGCTGCTTCATACCTCGACACCTCCAATTAATCTTACTTCAGCGAGGGTAAATTAAGCTCGTTTGTCAACGCAGCTTCAATTCGCCAGGGCAACTGATGAACGCAGACGCCGGTACATGAAGGTGAACGCGACCTTCGAGAGGCCCGGTACTATTTGTTCCAGTTACATCTGTAATTGGGGTGTTTACAACGTTCCTCAAACATCCTCAGCAGCCCACGCAATCAGCCCCCGGTTACGTGCTCGGCTTCAGGATACGGTGCAACAATCAATACGTACGCCGTTGTTCATGTTCAGTGCTCAGCCCAGCACAAACAAATACTGAACAGATTAAGATCACAGACAGACGACCAGTTGTGTCCATTTTGTGGGACTTCCATCGCTGGAGGAGACTGCTGGTGTAAGCGTAAAGCTACTTTATCGTAGCATGCTTCTTCATTCCCGAGTACGTCAGTGCATATCACAGGATTTAAACAGGCCTGTGTCTGTTTGACTACTCATCTGGGAAACAAAAGGTAAAAGAAAGTGTGATTGTGCCATCTGTGGGAATACGTTTTCTATAGATGGCTCAGGGCCTCGCAGAAGTCTCACGTCTTTTATTAAAATATGGCGCGGGGGCTTCGGGCTCGAGTCGTGAGTCCCTACACGACAAGATGACGTTTTAATCAGTATAGGTCTCAAGGTGACGCTAAATTTACTCAATTTGAAACCACATAAAAAGAAACAAAAAGTTGCACAGAGTTCATCTGCTTCTTTGTGCGAGTCTCCTGTCGCAAGGGGCGAGCGTAGCGGCGTTTACCCGAGTTAGTGTCGCATCCCCCGAAGATACTTCAGAGGGCTCTTCTCAGTTGTGAGGGGTGAACAATGCACAGTGCTGTGTCAGCCCAATGCGTGCTGTGAATCACTCTAAGCGACACACACACACACACACACACACACACACACACACACTCCCGTTCAAATGCATGAGCTTGTTTACCTGATGCCCTTTTGAATGGGGAAACATGTCGGTTCAGGAGCTGAAGTGTCGTACCTGAGGTGTGTTAATTCAGCCCCAAGTTAGCATCCACATGGCATTAAAATACACAAATAAGAGCTAAAGAATTGATCCTGGATTGTATTTTATGTGCTCTGATTATTAACAAGTGTAGCAAATGTAAGACAATAAAGATACGCATCTTAACTTGCAGAAATCCAATCTTTTTACTAAAAACTCGCTGAACTATTTTTAAAATGACCCTTCATTTAATAGCGTGTTATCTAGTGCAGCTAAAGCTGTAGGACAGATGCACATTGAAACTCAACAATGAGCTCAAATGTGTGTCAGCAGAGAGAACTTCTTCACCCTGTTTGAATATTACTCAAACTAATTCTCATTTAATGCTTATTAACATGCCTGCCTTTTTATTTGCCCTGCAGATTTTGAAATATTTCCCATAAATATTGTTCATCAATGTGCGCTCTAAAGTTCATCACATGGTTTTCTGTGTCTCATACATTTTTAGTTTTCATTTCCTAACCCTGCATTAAATTCGTCTAAACAGCAACTTTTTTTCTGACTAAAACGTTCCGCATAAAGCTCCATTCTCATTCCTCTGTGTTATGGCGAAATGTCGCTATTACAATTAGCAGCCAGGTCTACAGCCAGAAAGGAACATTGTCATCGTGAGTTGTTTGTGCATCGGTGTGCCGTTCTCACACGCTCTCACTCCCTGACACACAAAGAGACTGTGTTTAGGTTTAGAAAACAACCTCAGGGATGTTTCTTCAAGACCAAACACTCCGACGCTTAGACTTTCTTCCACTTTTCCTTCCCTCTAGGTTTGCAGCTTTTAGAAGCCAGGCAAAGGAAAAGCTGCTTTATACATGTCACACTTTCAAGTTTTCAAACTCCTAATTGAGTGAGTCTGCCTCTGCTGTCCATGTCTGTATCTGTCAAATTGTTAGTAGATCGTTGATCTACAGTAAGTTTGAGTTATCAATGCTTTTTTTTTTTTTGTTTGTTGATGCTCGGGTGTCTGACATGTTTCATCTTATTAAAAAGGATTTGAATACTTCGGGCAGTTTCCTGCTGCAACATTTTCTTAAGAAATTCCTATGTATGAGCTGTAATTAGACCGAGGTGTTCTTTGACTAACCTCTGAATGGAGAGAAACTTTGTTTTGACCTTTTTCACATTCTAGCATCGGGTTTTATTATAACCAGCACATTCAGAGCAAAGACTGACACTACCTTGCACTTGCACAATGTGAGCCTTTTTATCCTCATCTCTATAGTTCCTCTCAGTGATGCTCTGACAGGTATTTTCCAATGATTTGTGAAAGTCTATCAAAGTCCACCATCTTTCCCCATAGCCAATAAATACTCTCTACCAGCTACAATGATCGAATGAATGCTGTGAAACACACTGTCCACGTCAACTTGACGTGAGCTATTCATGATTGTACTAATACGGCTTTTCTAGAGAGAAACTGGATGTCAGTATGGGGTATCGGTTTAAAAATACTTGTCTTGACTCCCCTGTGACACTGGGTAAAATGAACTAATATTCCAAATGGCAAGAGTGGGCAGCAACTGCAAAAGGGTTGCAGCACTGACAAGGGCAATCATTTATTTTAATGAGTTTGGGTCCCTGGGTGGAGAAGCTCAGTTTCTCATGGAGTTGTCTGCAAAAGTCTTGCTCCACATTTGTTTTCTCTTTTTTCATATATTTTTTTTTCCTATCTCCCAGTTGCCACCTGTCATCAGCTCTGGCACACGTGCACAGACGAGCCGTCATTCGTTTCCTGTGTGTCCGCAGGGCAGTCACAGGCTGGAGGTGAACACGGGTCTGGAGGGTAGCTGGTGCAGCCTCATCCCGGTGGGCGGAGCCTGCCAAACGACCACTACTGGACTGAAGTGGAACCTGAGTGAGCCTCTTTGTTTGCACTTTCTACATTCGATTGGATCTCTAAAGATAATAATTAGTCTTTCTGTGTCGCTTTATTTTCCAAAAAGAAGAATTAACTTGTTTTGCGGCATAATGAATTCAAACAAAAACTGTCTTTTTAAAAGTAACGCTTCTTCTTTCTTGAATCTGATTAATACAACGTGCCTATGATGAGGATAAAGAAGGAAAACAATGGTCCTCAAGACTGTTTTTGTGTTGCTATGGCTAAAACTAAATACATATTCTGATTCCCCTCGTATGTTTAATGTGTTGTTCACAAAATTGTAGCCAGAGATTAAAAAGAGGAATTTTGTTCAACATAAAATCTAAAAAGCTCTCCATAAATTGTGATGGAACAATACTATGGTAATCATATTTAAATTAATTCAAATTAAGGTTTCATGTTCGTAAGTCAGTGTTTTTAACAAGTGGAACTAAGCAAACTTAAAGGTTTGTGACCCGTACGACAGGGCTGCAGCTTGCATTAGTGGTTCTGTCATTAGACCCTCATGGAGCTTCTGAAATTTGTAACCAAGATACTTAACATGATAGAAAGGTTGGTGGCGGCATGTATTTTTAAGTGTTCGAGTGTTTAAACTCACCCGTTGGTTGCCAATACTGCACGCGCAAGACTGCGTTTGCAGTGGAAGCAACCTCCACTGAGTTGTCCACATGCATTATATACAATCCAGTTGTTTAGACAAGTTTCATACCTTGCAGACGCATGCCATGGTGAGCCTTTTTATAGTCCTGAACATTGTATGGAAATCCAATTTGACGACCCTGCGGTCTTTCCCCACTCGAAGCCGCGCGGCCAGCTGTGCTCTTAATGAGTTGGCGCCGAGGCGCCGGCCACCGGTGCAGGAGGGAAGCCTGGACCTTCTGTCAAGCGTGTTTGTCTGCGTTGTGGTTGGTGTCCACTCTTCATGTCTCCATCGCATGTTTCCCCTTCACACTCGAGGGAGCACGCTGTTGTCTTTGTGCTCGTTTTCAACAGGTGTGTTTGTGCGTGCACCGCGCAGCCCCGTTCATTAACGTGTTTGTGTGTTTATGTTTACTCTGCACACCTGTGAGATGGCCTTCTGAGTGGTAATGAGAGGGACTTTATACATGGGGATGAGAGTGCTATGCAGATTAGCCAGTGATAACAAGATGCATAATTAATCATGTGCATATTTAGAAGGCTGGAACTAATGATTTCCCATTGGGGTTGGAATGTGAAACAAAAATTAGGAATACCTCCCCCCCCCTCACATGTCTCACAGTATGCGCGAGTCTTCATATAGAAAACGATACCATTCGTTGTTGTGCATTTTGTAAAGTTCCTTGATGTGTGTCAGTGGTGGTCTCCATGGTTGTCAATGCAACTCAAGGGCCCAAATCATCTCCGTGTCACTTTCTTGTGACACCAAGTCTCTTTAGAAGTCAGTTGAAATGATCCCCCCCACACTGGGATTCGAAGCCTTTCTGTGATGAAAAATATCTAATCTTTCTAAAAAAAGACCCAGCTTTTGGGCTGTCAGCCATTACAGGCTTGTTGTCCCAAAGGGGACTTTTTGCTTACATCCAGAGCTTGTTTTAAGTTTTTCCTTTAAAAAAAAGGTTTTGATCCAAAGCATACATTTGGTATGAATAGTCAAACATTGAGCAAACTTTATTTTTCTGGGTGTTTTTTACTTCAAGGGGGAGTGTGCAAGATGAGCTTCAATACCCTCGGCCTGAGTTGATAATATTGTAATTTTGTTTTATGTTAGTTGATTTGTTATTAATATTGCTATGAAATTAGATCAGACAGAGCTGCGCTTGAGCCGGCGATGAGAGGATACCGTTTAGAAAAAAAAGAAGGAAAAAAAACTTATGAGTTTTCTCAAAGTTTGTCTTTGATGATTCATATTTTCTCTGCAACCGAAAGAAATGTTTGGTTTGGAATAACATGAAAGCAAAACCATATGCTCCTCGTTTTCATTCTTAAAATATCTAAATAACTTAAATATACAACACACAAAAGAAAATAACACTGGGAAGAATCCATCAGCAAACATCAATTCACTTCCCCTGTCCTGGAGGAAAGGCACAAGTTTAGCAGCGGATATCTCACAACCGCAAGAAAACACTCGGGTGGACACCGGTTGGGAAGATATGCTTGTTTGGTTGATCCTTTAAGACATGAGGGCACGGCAGATACACCGGGGGTGTTACTCACCAACACTCGGAGAACACCTCAGACGGCTCCTAACTCGGCCTAAAAACTTTGGCAAGAAGAAGTCGCAGCTTAGGAGGGATTAAGGGAGACCCCCAAAGCAACTTATCGCAAGCATGAGACAAACCTTTTTACCCACCAGTGAAGCGGTGTGGCTGACCTTGTTTCTAGCCATGACGTATCCTTTTAAAAAGATTGAACTGCTTAACCCCAAGAATAAATGGGCATTCTTGTCGATAATGGGCAAAAAAGCATATAATATTGTCTATTCAGAAGCTTGTGAGCTATACGCCAGCTTTAAAAGTGTACTACAATATAGGCTTACTTGCAAAGTATTCCCATTGCATTCGTTCATTTTCTTTCTTTGTTGCATGCATGCAATTTGTCTGCAACATCAAATTTCTAAAAAGTTCCTTAGAATTTTGTCACTAGAAGCTTGTGTTTAGTACTTGGAGGCTTATTAATGAATACAGCCCCGGAGGGTTGATGTCCAATATGGTACAGAACCGGAATAAAGGTGAAACTGCTGGCAGCACCGTCGACCCCTGGAGGTCATGGAGGAAGCAATCTGCAGGCAATTAGCACATGATTGTCATTCAGATCAATTGACACAAATTAATTCTGCATCTCAAAAATGAAGGCAGGTTTGCGTTTGATGTGTTTATGCCTGAATAATTTTGCATACTTAATTTTTTTAATGCAGACCTGTAATGTTTTTTAATAAATGTTTATTTTAATTTATCCAAGAAGTCCTGGTTAAAAGAAATTGCTCGATCCCAAGGCTTTGTCTAGAAACTCCTATATAGTCGGGCAGTCCGGTAGAGAAAAATCCACAAAATCATAAGGCATCGGAGGAAGCCGTGCGCGGCCGTGGCTCAAGAGAGTCTTTGTGGAGACTGCTGTCTAATGAAAGGACTGCACTGCGGTAATGATACTACAGGAAGGGAGTGTACTGCTAAATAATGAAGTGACTGCAGTGTAGAAAAGGGTAACAATGTAGGAAGGAAGTGCTCCACGAAGTGACTGCGGTGCGCTAACATCCATGCAGGAGGGCGCTGCATGTTGAGTGTGGCATCCTGAACGGGATGTGATGAGCGTGTCGGGCTGGAGACGGATGGACTTCCGAGTCGCTGTAAATCTGTCGCCGCTCTCTCATACTCCTACTGAGCTGTGATAATTTATTCGTTCTCTCGTTCCCTTTTCTCATTCCCTTTTTTTCTTTCCGGGCACCTTCCAATTTGCTCTCTTCTATTCTAATCCCGCCTCCCGCCTGAGACTGTCGCTATCCTCTCTTTCATTATGAGATACTGTCAGCCGAGCTCCTTATCACCTTCTCTATGTTACATTAATTTTCAATCATCGGTTCTAAAGTCCCCTGAGGATTCCGTCGGTAAATGCTGTCATTGAGTGTGTGCACATATATCGCTCCGAGTGTCCGTGCGTGAGCTTGCATTCGCGCATATGTGTGTATTTTCAGATGGGCTGTAGGATTTCACCATTAGCTCAGGGCAATATTCCTTAATGACATAATTTACCAGCGTTTTTTCTTACTTTTTATTCATGTGAATATGTCCCATGAACACATTATCCACTCCTCCCTTTCAGTTATTTGTGATAAGTGGACAGGTTTATGTCCAGAATGTCGATATGTGCAAGGAGGAGCTGGTAGGCACACGCACACATACACAAACTCCACACTTGGCTTTAATGTAGTCCATTTTCAGAAAGGTTCCAGAGATTAAGTCCTAGAGGTAACTGTGCCCAGCCAAGAAATAGTCCAGCACAAAGCCCCATATAATACCACAACATGCTGCCTTTGCACTGCATTTGCTTTTGTTCCGCCAGCGAATGTGTCTTTCCCAAAACTACTAATTCCAAAGGTCCCATCTGGAGTTGGTGTGCACTATAAACGCCACGGAGAAATGTCTCTGATGTGTGTTGGCCCACATTTCCTCCGCGCTAGTGGACGTGCACGAGGAGACGTGACTAATGCTGCACGCGTTCCGGCCAACGGTTTCTTCTGCCGTTCCAGGAATCAACAAGTGACTCATGAAGAAACACCCCAGTGTGCCAGCAAATGCAGAGACAAATAAGCCCGCGTAATAGTATGCATGCAGGTAAACCATGCGGGGGCTTCAAATCATCTCTGCAAATGTTTAAACTCCAAAGGAAATGCATCCAACACGCTTGTGGGACCTGGATGACGCACACGATGCTTTTTGGCCGAACCACTAGGAAACTCTTTTTCAAGTCTCTGTAGCGCGACGTGATTGCTGGAGCAAAATCCGCCCGACACCCTCCTCCCCCTGCTCCGTCGCGTGCTTCATCCTGCTCTGCCGAAGCCGAGCGCTCACCTCCTTTCAAACGGCCCGATTGAGACAAATGAGGCGGTTGCTCGCGGTTGACGACGGGTTGCTCTCTGACGGCGCTCTCCTGCCCTCGTCTCACTCTGACAGCACTTTTTCCTGCGGCTCGTGACATCTGCCTCAGAGTGGGACATGCTTCAGGGTTCCTGTTTCTGGCTCCAGCGACTCCGCCACGCTTTTGGAGCCCTAGTCCAATAATGTGGCCCTATAGGTGGGGAGTGTGCACTTCTTCTTCTGATGGATGCTTCTCTGCAGGAGAAGGAATTGTTCTGTTCTGGTGTGTTTTCAAACAGGACACATGCAAACCAAGAAGCACTGCACAGTCTTGATCAGCCCAACTGCACGTATTCTCCACGTCGTCCTCCGTGATGGCGGTAATATCTTATGATTTCAACAGTTAAACACGTTGATCTTTAGGAAAGCTGATCAAAATTGTTTTTCCTTTAAAAGTCTTGCTAATTGAGCGAAATCGGGACAACTCATTTGCTGATCTGTTTTGCAATACTGTTTATTTCCAGCAGATTTTATCTTTTTCGTTTGTTCGAGTTGCCATTATTCTAAATGTCAGGCCGCACATCTGTTCCGTTCTCGGATGAAACAATGCAGCGGCCATCTGTGGAAGCTTTTCTGGCGTTTGGTTTTAGCTGCTTGTTCTGCCTGTGTAGAATTCAGGCTCAAGATTTAGAACTACAAATGCCAAAACATGTGTACTTCAAGTGACATTTCACACTCTTAAGACAAACCTGCAAAAGACCACCACTTTTGCTTTTAAGAGGTCTGCCTTTGTTTGGCCTGATTTATGCAGCCAATGAACCCACATCGGTTTTCTTCCCATAAGAGGTTGAAAAAGCCTTTTGAGGTTTTCCGGTCTTTTAATTCACCCCGAGGCTTCTACCACATGCGGTTTTCTGTTTTTAGTTGTAATTGCAAAAGTGGAAGTGCAGTCAATGACTGCTTCAGTCTGGATTAAAACGGTTAGCAGGGTCAGCAATAGAGAGCATGAATCTCATGTTAAAAATGTTTTTTATTTAGCCCCCAAAATACATTTCAGAGACATGCAATGTGTTTTTTTTGCAATCTCAAATCTTTGTAGCATCACAAAGCAGTCAGTCAAGGCTGTTTTCCCCCCTCATTTGCTTTAGTGCAGGAGCTCAAACCTGGCTGATGATACCAATAATTATGTGAAATAAGGCTGAGTTCTTTGCAGCCTTGATTGGTCGTGGCCGGGACCATAAACCTTGACCACGCTCCTGTCGGCCGGGCTACGATTGTTGATTGCTGTGGCCTGCAGTAACAATTTCAGACCCCTGCCAATTTGTTTGCATTA